TATCACCCTATGTGGTACCCTAGATCACCCTATGTGGTGCCCTATATCACCCTAAGTGGTACCCTAGATCACCCTATGTGGTGCCCTAGATCACCCTATGTGATCCCCTAGTTCACCCTATGTGGTGCCCGAGATCACCCTATGTGGTGCCCTAGATCACCCTATTTGGTGCCCTAGATCACCCTATGTGGTGGTCTAACTCCCAAGATTCCTGATGAAGTTCTAGTCATTCTACTGTTTATGATTTCCAATGTTTATTTATGATATATGTATAATATTGTCAGTGCGCTCCGGTAATGGCTAGGCGACGTTACTGGTTCATGTCGATGTACGTATAAATGTTCCTTCGGTCTGTGTAAGGAGGGGGTATCGGACGATACGTTTATTGTCGTAGGTTGATTCCAAGCCTTGGTTTTTGTTGACACATCAGAATAAAGCTTGTTGTAAGAAAATGTTTGTGTTCAAGTTATGATTTCAATACAAAAAAGAACTTAAGGACATATGCCTCCTTACACCTTGAACTGTATATTGGAGTTATCTCCCTTGGACAGTTTTATTGAGCATGATTTAATCATTCAGGATTGCATTTGCTAAGGTGCAAAGAATTGATCAGGTGTACCAAGCTATATCAGATTGGAAGTACAATTCTGAGAATGTATTCTATATTACTTAAGGGAGTATGCTACAATGTACCTGTGATTTGTGTTAGAGTTATCTCCATTTAAGACATGTTACCCTGTGATATGGATTATAATATTTACCATCGTATGGTATTGTCACAATAAAATCCTACCACATTTAGATGACATTAATTCACCAGAGTACAATAAATTCATTATTTGAACTAAATACTGAATAATTTAATCTTGCTTGTAACAAGCATTTTCATTGACGTAAAAAAAGACGTCACCATTTGCAACGTCGCTTTTGATTGGTTGATACAGCAGCGCAATAATTTCTATGAGAAAAGAGTCCATCAATAAAAGTGGATTTCCACAGGGATTGTGTATAGTAGATTAAATTATAAGGATTAATTTGAATATATTTTTCATGTTATGGAGCTATAACACAAAAAAACGGAGTGTACTCTCATCTTAAAACCGCTTCGCGGTTTATTTAGAGTACACTCCGGTTTTTTGTGTTATATCTCCATAACATGAAAAATATATTCAAGTTAATCCTTAAATAATAATAAGTGTAACTGGATTTCTATGAGATAAACTGATTCCAAGAAATGGTAAATTTAAGTATTAAACTGCTTAAGTTTCTTTCTTATAATACATCATAACTAATTAACAATATCTAAGAGTGTAATGATGTTTCCATTCAACAGTTACGTCACCTAATTAGAGTTAAAATTATCGTTAAAAATGTTTGTGGAACTTGGTTGAAAAACGAGACTCCTTCCAGATATATGTGAAAGGAATATGTAAATTGAATCATATACCGGACCTAATGCCTTTATTATGCGTTACTTTGGACTCAAATAAACTTGAATGGCTTGTAAATATCATTCCTTTCCTTGGTAGAACCACGGACTTAGATAACTATTCTAATTCCGTGGTAGAACCTATGATCTTATCACAACGTCGTATTCTTCTTGAAAATACACTCTGTTTATCTCAATCGGGAACTGCCACTTGACTGTAGGTTATGCATGCTACACGCAACTTCCGGTAAAATACCCTTCAGTTAATGAGCAAACTAAGCAAACTGCAAATAAAATCCATTACCACATTGGATATAATCTTATTCTTAGTTAGAACTAAGTTTCCTTCTACAACTTCGTATTTACTCTTGGAACTTCCATTACACGGAAATACTGTCCTCTGATTGGCTAAAAGTAACTCTTGCATTTTGCGTGGTCAGAGGTATGAAGCGGTCCTGTTCCAACTAGCTGAGGAAAATCAAAAGTGCTAATCTGTAATAATATATATGATTCACGCCTCATAGGAGTATAATGTTATGAAAATATTGCATATTCGTTGAAATAACAAATCCTTACTAAAAACTCTAAAAACAGAAACGACCGCCATGCTAGATCACGCGTGATATTATCTCAATTACCCGTTTCCTTATGACCTTAACGACCAAATATAGTATTACTACTGATGCCGTCATGTTTACTACAATTTCCATATTTGGTCATGACACCCATATTTAGACATCTGACCTATATCGGAATACGGACGAAGTATCCAACATGGCAGTCAATTCAGATTTCGATTGCACTTGCTACGTAAACTTGATAATTTAACAACATATAAGGCAGAGTATAACTTAACGTTATGTAGGAGATCAACAGAAAAGGTTCATATTACAAACCTATTACGGATGCGGATCCTGTAAATTAATTCTAAAATCGTCCCCGTGTGATTCCCAACAGGCTTGCACAACTAAAATGGGATCGCCCGGCCGAGGCAGATGAGGCCGGGTATTAATATATACTAGCCCCTGGCACACTCTAGTTCCATATTGGTATTCTAACCTGAAGGCTTTTTTTTACCTTCGCAGTATTATCATTTTGTTCCATTTTCATCATTAAATATTCTATTGCATTTTTATATCAACAAAAGATGAGGTGTCACCTTAAGATGAAATATCGAGATACTGAGATAAATCTATTTCGTCTTCGGAATGATTTCAGACATCATAGTGTACGGTGGTAGGCGTCAACTTCACTGTTGACTGCGGCGTACAAGTTTTACCCTTGTCACCTAGTCACAACTTGGAACAATTTATCAGCTGAAGTGGTTAATGCCGAAAGTTTAAATAGTTTTAAAAATAGATTAAACGTGCACTGGAAAGATCATGAACACACATTTTATCCGTCCTTTTAATCTACGATGTGTAAATATTAATTAACACTGATAAATTGGCCGGACTATAATTATACTTCACTATAAACGTCTAGATATATTTAATTTCATACAATGTATGCCCTTCCTGGCGCACTCCATCATCAACCAATTAATTAACGAAATGCAGATTAATAACATCATTGAAAGCCACAGGTTTTCCATTGATGTCTTACCTACGAGATACTGAGATAAATCTATTTCGTCTTCGAAATGATTTCAGACATCATAGTGTACGGTGGTAGGTGTCAACTTCACGGTTGACTGCGGCGTACAAGTTTTACCCCCCTTGAAATAAACATTATCGTCAATTTCTAAATATGCCTGGTACGGGGTTTTGGGACGGGAGCGGGAGCGGCGTACAAGAATTTACCTACCACCATAGTGTACTACGGGAAAACACGAGTGATCTCCCTTACATTTAGACACGCGCACATTTTACTTTCATTTTGTGTAGGCCTAGACATCATTCGTAACGCGAAGCGGTAAAGACGAAAATGCAGGTGAGTGTTGACTTAATGTAAGGCATGTTGTTTAAGCAACATTGACAATGCACAATATGCCTACACTTCGACAACGTTTACCTACAACTGATTCATAAATAAGGTTCTGTATCCCGATTTCGGTGATTTGTGGCTGAAGTAATGATTACCTTCTGTCTTGGTCTTGCAAGCCGTCACATGGTTGCCTATATCATAATGCCGCTGGACAGGTCAGGTCAAGTAATATAGCTCACAATACTAGTAAATATGTATCTGGCACGGTACCCAACAATATGCGAGGTCACCGAGAAACTGTCACTACTATAAGTAGAGCACACTGTAGGACTAAGGGGTTACAATGTCTACAATATGCAGAGCACAATAAGCTGTCCGTACAGTCTGGAATCCTGGAAGGAAGAGAGTTGGGGTCAAGGAATACTCACTCAGGCAGCACGGGGTCTCTGGCGTCTTACTTACGGTGGAAGCCCGGATGACGTAATGTAAACAGACCCTCGACACTACATGGCCAAGCATGTGGCCAAAGCCGCAGATAATGACGCATGTTGTCAGCGGTGATGACAAAAAGGAAGGTGCTTCAACGGTATGTATAGCAGTAATTATGTAAAAACAAACAAAATAAATGGACTTTTTACACTGGTGAATAACAGCGTCACGACTTCCGCCCGCCAGCCAGCTCCAGATTTGTCGCAAAATTTTCGAATTAGGCTAAGTTGCAAACTGATTTCACGTTAAGCATTGTTTGTGAGGATATTTGGCCTTACATTTCTTCTGATTCAATTGAAAAAAAACATGTTATAAACATTGTTTTGTTAGATTCATTGTGATGTTGGCTGTCATTGAAGTTTCAATTGTTATACTACTTGATGTTTTGGAAACTTAAAAAAGTATATTAAAGTAAAGTGAAAATATTATGAAATGATTTCCTTTGTGAATGAATTTTCTGACGTCTAATGTTTGTTTTGTCCTTAACCAGTTTGATTACTTGACGAGAGAAATTGTATGATCCGTCTTTATCCAAGGATAGCAGTTCCGTTTTACACACAAGTCCATTGGATCTATTTTTAGCCAAGGATAGCAGTTCTAATAGTACTTAGCAACCTGACACTGGTCGACCAGAGTCGTGAAATCCTCAACGAGTATCAGGGACTGTCGGTCACCATATTACAACAAAACCCGGACTGAGCTACTCAAACTTCAGGATCTGCTGCTGAGTGGGGAGCCACCAGACGGAGAGGAAAGTGGAGGACGAGAGGTGGCCACATCGTCTTCTCCGGAGGAACAGATAGTAAGTCTGCAGAGTATTAAATGATCTGTTACATTTTGTATATGAACCATTGTTAGATTTTGGTCAGATTTCTGTTACTTTACTTTTCCTCTTCGTTCCTCTTTGTCCCTGGTGAGACATAAGGAATCAACAATATGTCACCACCTACCTCTGTCCATGGCATTGAACTGAGCTTGGCCAATAGAATATCCCATTTCTCCTAATTCTGATGCTATTGTCCTCCTCCGTGTTTTTCTCGGTCTGGCTCCTTTTCTCTTGCCAGGTGGTGTCCAGTGTGAAGCCACTTCAGGAATTCTGTTTGTGTCATTCTCAGAACATGCCCAAGCCATCTCATACGTCGTTGTTTAATCTCGACAGCAATGCCTTTCATTTTACTTTTTTTCATCAGGTCAGGTTTATCAGCTATCAGCAAATAGATATTGCACCTTTAACTCATTCACCCCTGAAATATCATACTGAACTATTCGGACCTATGAATTGGAAGAGTTCAAATGTGTCTTCAGGGGTGAATGAGTTAAGGGCATCAGGTTGTATGTATTCTACAACTCTTCAGTGATTTGCTGTTGTTTCAAGTCCAAGTTTTCATTGTATTTTTCAGATAATCATGAAAAGTCAGCTCATCCAGGCGGCAGAGGTTTGTAAAGACCTCAGGGAGGAGCTCTCCATGACCAAGGATGAGTGTATGCAGCTTCAGGGCACAAAGGTAAACATGTACAGATTCAGGGCACCAAAGGTAAACATGTACAGATTCAGGACACCAAAGGTAAACATGTACAGATTCAGGGTACCAAAGTTATCATGTACAGGTTCAGGGTGTCAAAGTTTACATGTACAACTTCAGGGCACTAAAGTTAACGAACACGAACAGATTTAGGGGACAAAGTTAACATGTACAGATTCAGGGGACAAAGTTAACATGTACAGATTCAGGCCACAATGTTTACGAAAAGTATGTACATGTTTAGGGCACAAAGATAAACTTATCTAGATTTTGGGCATAAACTCAACGTACAGAATTAAATAGATTCAGTGCATTTGAAGATTAAGGACACAAATCAAATGTGTATGGTACCAGGGTACCAAACTAAGATTGATTTAAAAATATCCTGCGCTTAATGAAAGTAGGATTTTGAGGAATGTATTTCACAGACTTATAGAACAAGAGGAACGCATTTCACAACTCAATTCTGAGGTTTTACGAGCTGTCTTCGAATATCAGCGTTTTGAGTCAGAAATTGTGAGTTTATGTTCTAGTTGTCGTTCTGCCATCTTTTTAGTGTCGCATTTAAATTGATTTGTTCAAGCCTCATACTGGACATCATCTAGTTCTACCCTTTGAGTGGAGGTTTTTCTGTCTCTTTGCCACTTTGTGTTGCGATCCCCAATTTCACCCAAATGGGGTAAAACCAACAGGTCTCTCTGTAACCTCTTGTATTATATGTCACTTTCTGGTTTACAGACGGAAATGAAGCAAGCGTTGCGAGACAAAGACAAACTGATTGTAGATTTAAAGGTAAGTTGTGTTGTTGATACAATGGAACTGCACTGATCCAGGCTCCAATTGTAGACATCGGTTCAACACTCAACTAATCGGATTTATTTTGGACATCAATCTTTTATTTCACACAGTATTACTTCAGTTTTTATGAGGAAAATAAGTGTTAAATTACCAGTGTTAAAGTTTGTTGTTTTTAGATTGTGATGTTTGTTGTTATACAATATTAGGAATGTTCAGTGTTTTGTGAAGTAGCTACAGTCTGCAGATTCATTCACCTCGGCCCTTTGAACTGTGTGAAAATGTCTCTATGTATTATTTTAACACGATTCGTTTGTAACGCGTGTTTTGATTGGATACGAACCATGTTCTAATCTGCGATAGAATCATGATCAATCGTGTTAAGCTCCTCCCATCGCACTGAAGCCACGCCCCGTTTCTAACCAAAACAATATGTCTTCAAGATCGCCTCATAGTGAAATCCCGCTGATACAGGCTAGTAGGCAACAGAACAGAAACGACCGATGAAATGCATTTGTTGAATGAATTAAAAAGTAAAAATAACCCATTCCTTGTTATTACCTCCATTTATTACTGAAACATTTGTTCCATCCGTGTGAAGGCATCTATTTAGATCCGAAATAAAATCAAACATTTCACATGTGTCGTATGCATTTACACAAAACTCTTCACAAATCCATACAAATAATCACCGATTTTGTCGATAAGCACAGATTGGTATGCATACTGACATGTACATGTATGAACTTGTTCAATAGTAAACCGAATGTGTTGTATAAACTTTGGTAATAGGACGTTCACGAACAATCCAAATATTCCGCCTCGTCAACATACACATCAAGCTCTCGCCAGTATGGGCGGGGCTAAATGACCGACTTTTGAAAGCTTCTTTCCGATTAGTCAGTCCGCTGCAGAATGACACGTCACCAGTTCAGCTCACAAAGTACTTTCGTACAAGGAAATACAATGTTTCTAAACATATTAGCGTAGTATATTTGTTAAGGTGTGTTAGAATGGGGATAGTACGTTGTTTTTCGTGTCTATACTGGCGATTAGAACATGAAGTTTGGTTTAAACTCTCAACCTATCGGTCTCAAGTTCAAACCTAAATTTCATGTTCTAATCGCCAGTATAGCTACTCAAAACAACGTACTATCCCCTAAATAGAGTTAGAAATGATGGTGTAGATAACCATCATCTCTGATGAAATTGTCAGTAGTCTTAATATTGTGTGTATGTTTGGAAATTAAAAGGCTATTGGATAGATGCCTACAAATTATTTTTTCTGTTAAGGTATATTTTTTTAAAGAAAAGAAATCATATCAGGGTTTTTGCCAGGTGTTTATAGGGTCTTGTATGAGGACCCTTTCCCAATTGTAAAATGACACTGCATTTTCCAAATTTCAGTCTTTATTTTCCCATTTTGATTAAAAAACATGTTTATATAAATTTCCAGTCATGATATGTACAACATTCAAGGTAGTATTGTCCATGAAGGAGCATTCAAAATATATTAACAAAAAAAATGAAAATTGGTGTGTTCATTTAATGCTATACATTTTACTCTAAGAAACAGATATAGGAAAACGTTTTGCTAATCACATTGCAGGTTTTTTTTCTCTCCTAAACTTATGATATTTTCCCAAACCTGTACATGTGGGAACACCAATGATATTTCCCATTTTTGCCAAATGCGAATATTTTCCCAATTTCTGCTCATCGTCACTTTTCCAAAATAGCTGGCAAAAAACCCTACTTATAGAAAAACCTTTATTTCTGTCTAATTTACTCTGATAGATAAGAAATTCTGTCTAATTTACTCTGATAGATGTGAAGTTCTGTATAATTTACTCTGATAGATGTGAAGTTCTGTATAATTTACTCTGATAGATGTGAAGTTCTGTCTAGTTTACTCTGATAGATGTGAAGTTCTGTATAATTTACTCTGATAGATGTGAAGTTCTGTCTAGTTTACTCTGATAGATGTGAAGTTCTGTATAATTTACTCTGATAGATGTGAAGTTCTGTCTAGTTTACTCTGATAGATGTGAAGTTCTGTATAATTTACTCTGATAGATGTGAAGTTCTGTCTAGTTTACTCTGATAGATGTGAAGTTCTGTATAATTTACTCTGATAGATGTGAAGTTCTGTCTAGTTTACTCTGATAGATGTGAAGTTCTGTATAATTTACTCTGATAGATGTGAAGTTCTGTCTAGTTTACTCTGATAGATGTGAAGTTCTGTATAATTTACTCTGATAGATGTGAAGTTCTGTCTAGTTTACTCTGATAGATGTGAAGTTCTGTATAATTTACTCTGATAGATGTGAAGTATGTAGTTTTGTCTTGGTTCATCCGATGACTGATAAACTTAATTCTTGCATTGCAGAAGGACATGGCGAGAAGGGACAAACACATTGACCATTTACAGAATGAAGTCCAGTTACAGATTCAGGAAATAGAGACTGCCACACGTTCACTGAAGATGCAGATATCTGACCTCCATGACCGCCTCAAGGTCGTAGGTCAAACCGGGGTGGGTATTTCAGCGAGTCAAATTAGCCTCAGGTTTAGAAAATCTCTTTTAAAAATAACTTGAGTTCAACAAAAAGTGCAATTCTTTAGATTTTTGGCTTTTGCCTAAACGGGACAGACTTTCTACAGTAATCTTAAAAAAAACAATCTTAAAAATTTAACTGCAGTGGTCTTTAATATAAATATTATTTTGAGGAGTTTTATTAAAAATGAAGGGAGGACTGAGACTTGACAATGTGTCACAAAGTAAGTGACTCCTCACCCCAATTATTTATTTTTCAGAAAAGTCGGTATTTCCATCTATGATGTTTGACTGTAAGCGGGTTTTATAATGTTTATAATGATTATGACATCATATTTTGAAGACTCGAAACTGTGTTGAATTAATCATGTTTTTGTGATGTCATTTAACAGGCCAGTCTATCAGCGCGTGTGGCGTCGCAGGACAAACGTATGGCCCAGCTGGAAGGCAAGATTCTGACCTCGACGGAAGCAGTCATAGGAGCGATAACACCAGCTTTGTACGTAAACCTATGTTCACACGGTAAGATAACACCAGCTTTGTACATAAAACCTATGTTCACACAGTAAGATAACGCCAGCTTTGTACGTAAAACCTATGTTCACAAAGTAAGATAACACCAGCTTTCTACGTAAAACCTATGCTCACACAGTAAGATAACACCAGCTTTGTACGTAAAACCTATGTTCACAAAGTAAGATAACACCAGCTTTGTACGTAAAACCTATGTTCACACAGTAAGATAACACCAGCTTTGTATGTAAAACCTATGTTCACACAGTAAGATAACACCAGCTTTGTACGTAAAAACTATGTTCACACAGTAAGTGATTAAAATGCCTTAATCATGTTAGTTTTTAGTTTGTATATAAAAACAAAATCCCTATATTCCTTAGTATTGTTACATATGAACAGCAGGGCCTATTAGGCCAAATGGTTAAGGCATCTGACAGTCTACATCACTAGCCCTCTACCACTGGGTTGCGGGGTCAAAGTCTACTACGGCAGAAGCCAGGTACTGGCCGCAGGTCATGATTATCCCTTGGTTTGTATGTTTTTAGCCGTTTATGCCGTACTGCGGCGTCCGTCGTCCGTCCGTCAACTTTTTCTTATAAACGACTTCTTCTGATGAACTGGAGGACCCAAGGTCATGATATTTGGCCAGTAGGTACCTGGAATGGAGTGCTATAAAAACGCCTCATTAAAATGACCTTGACCTGCTTTCAAGGTCACAGGGGTCGAATATGTTAAAAACTTCGAACAACAATATCTCAAGAACCATTTGGACTAGAGTCATGATACTTGGGAATGTTATTTAGACCAGCTGTGAATCTTTTTCTCAATTACAGTTATAAGGTCAAAGGTCAACTTTAAGTGCTAGTCAGGGGTCAAATGTAAACATGAGCTAAAAGCTTTAAGTATCTTCTTCTCAAGTTCCATAAGGCCCAGGGTCATGATGTTTAGCTTGTAGGTACCTGAGATTGAGTGCTATAAAGTTTTCTCATCTAAATGACCTTGATATACTTTCAAGGTCACAGGGGTCAAATATGTTGAAAACTTCAAACAACAATATCCTAAGAACCCTTTGGGCTAGAGTCATGATACTGGGGTAGGTTATGTAGACCAACAGTGCAAATCTTTTTCTCAATTACAGTAATAATGTCAAAGGTCATCTTTAAGTGCCAGTCAGGGGTCAAACGTCAACAGGGGAAAAATCTTTAACAATCTTCTTCTCAAGTTCCATTAGGCCGAGGGTCATGATATTTGGCCAGTAGCCTGAAATTGTGTGCTATAAAGTTTCCTAATTAAATTGATCTTGACCTACTTTCAAGGTCACTGGGGTCAAATATGTTAAAAACTTCAAACAATGATATACTAAGAAGCATTTGGTCTGGAGGTATGATAAAATTAAATTCAAAACTGAAGACAAAAAGGAACCCTCGTATGAAATTTAAGAAAGATGTCGTCGTGCCTTTTGAGGAATAGTGATAACAATATCTAAAGATAGACGACAGACGGTTGATAGACCACAGACGAGGGGGCGATAGGATAGACGACGGACGGTTGATAGACCACAGGCGAGGGGGCGATAGGATAGACCACGGACGGTTGATAGACCACAGGCGAGGGGGCAATAGGATAGACGACGGACGGTTGATAGACCACAGGCGAGGGGGTTATAGGATAGACGATGGACGGTTGATAGACCACAGGCGAGGGGGTGATAGCATAGACGATGGACGGTTGATAGACCACAGACGAGGGGGTGATAGGATAGACCACGGACGTTTGATATACCACAGACGAGGGGGTGATAGGATAGACGACGGATGGTTGATAGACCACAGACGAGGGGGTGATAGGATAGACCACGGACGTTTGATATACCACAGACGAGGGGGTGATAGGATAGACGACGGACGGTTGATATACACAGACGAGGGGGTGATAGGATAGACGACGGACGGTTCATAGACCACAGACGAGGGGGTGATAGGATAGGAACCCTCGTATGAAATTTAAGAAAGATGTCGTCGTGCCTTTTGAGGAATAGTCATAACAATATCTAAAGATAGACGACAGACGGTTGATAGACAACAGACGAGGGGGTGATAGGATAGACGACAGACGGTTGATAGACCACAGACGAGGGGGGGATAGGATAGACCACGGACGGTTGATAGACCACAGACGAGGGGGTGATCGGATAGACGACGGACGGTTGATAGACCACAGGCGAGGGGGTGATAGGATAGGCGACGGGCGGTTGATAGACCACAGGCGAGGGGGTGATAGCATAGACGATGGACGGTTGATAGACCACAGACGAGGGGGGGATAGGATAGACCACGGACGGTTGATAGACCACAGGCGAGGGGGCGATAGGATAGACCACGGACGGTTGATAGACCACAGACGAGGGGGTGATCGGATAGACGACGGACGGTTGATAGACCACAGGTGAGGGGGTGATAGGATAGACCACGGACGGTTGATAGACCACAGGCGAGGGGGCAATAGGATAGACGACGGACGGTTGATAGACTACAGACGAGGGGGTGATAGGATAGACGACGGACGGTTCATAGACCACAGACGAGGGGGTGATAGGATAGGAACCCTCGTATGAAATTTAAGAAAGATGTCGTCGTGCCTTTTGAGGAATAGTGATAACAATATCTAAAGTTAGACGACAGACGGTTGATAGACCACAGACGAGGGGGCTATCGGATAGACGACGGACGGTTGATAGACCACAGACGAGTGGGTTATAGGATAGACGACGGACGGTTGATAGACTACAGACGAGGGGGAGATAGGATAGATGACGGACGGTTGATAGACCACAGACGAGGGGGTTATAGGATTGACGACGGACAGTTGATAGACCACAGACGAGGGGGTGATAGGATAGGAACCCTCGTATGAAATTTAAGAAAGATGTCGGCGTGCCTTTTGAGGAATAGTGATAACAATATCTAAAGTTAGACGACAGACGGTTGATAGACCACAGACGAGGGGGGGATAGGATAGACGACTGACGGTTGATAGACCACAGGCGAGGGGGTGATAGGATAGACGACGGACGGTTCATAGACCACAGACGAGGGGGGGATAGGATAGACGACTGACGGTTGATAGACCACAGGCGAGGGGGTGATAGGATAGGCGACGGGCGGTTGATAGACCACAGGCGAGGGGGTGATAGGATAGGCGACGGGCGGTTGATAGACCACAGGCGAGGGGGTGATAGGATAGGCGACGGGCGGTTGATAGACCACAGGCGAGGGGGTGATAGGATAGACGACGGCCGGTTCATAGACCACAGACGAGGGGGCGATAGGATAGACGACGGACGGTTGATAGACTACAGACGAGGGGGCGTTAGGATAGACGACGGACGATTGATAAACCACAGACGAGGGGGTGATTTGAACAGCCTACCATCTGATGATGGTGAGATAAAAATCAAAGCTAAATTAAAAAAGCACAATTTGAAAACTTTTTAAACAAGTTTATTATATTATTGATTTAAAGTTAAATAACATTTACAAATGATATACTTAAATCTCTCTTAGTGAGGAAGAAACTTATGCACCACAGCATCAAACATCTTTGTTGTGGTCACTCACTGTCACACAACTTGCATGGCATACAAAATAATTTCTTTACTGATATTTGTGAGGCATCTTCTTAACATTCAAACCAAACATATCCAAGTGCTTAGGTGACCCTATTTAACAGCACGTTCAGAGATTCTGACTCATACACACTCGCAGCAAACATTTCATTGATCTGTCCAATACAAATCTCTATCTCTTCATGTAACAACAAATTAAAACCTCAACCATAGGTCACTTTAGGTGTGATATAAGGGAAGTCAGGTTATACACCTAGAGAACAGGTCAACTTAAGTCAGAGACGCTGATTTCAGATTTAATTACAGGTTTTGAAATCAATGACCTTGTTTTAGAATATTGAAAAGAGCATATTACAGATATAAATAAATGGACCTGATGTTTGGGAATAGCTGATTTGTAACAATGAATGTTTCATTGCCTTTTTATATGTACACAAGGTCCATGCCCAATATTTATGGGTAGATCAGGTGTTTGGAATAGTCTACTTCAGGATATAAGGGAAGTCGGGTTATACACCTAGAAAACAAGTCATTAGTACAGAGACGCTGATTTCAGATTTCATTGCAGGTTTTTGAAATCAATAACATTTTTCTTGAGTATTGAAAAGAACATATTTCACAGTAAAATAAATGGACCTGATGTTCCAGCATGGCTGATTTGTAAACATTAATGATGACATTAATTTGGAATAATACTGCAAAACAGAAGTTGTAACAGAAACTATTTACAAAACCTGTAAACAATAAACCTGTGACATGTTTACATTAGTTCCTTAAACATGATATTGTTAGTCTGTATAAGTGTTGATCAAGTGTATAAGATCATAATAACAAAGGTCAAAGTTAAATGTTAAAATTAACGTCCTTTTGTATTTATGTGGTATAATTTGTCTGTGGTTCACTCCAGGTTTAGTCACTCCTCAGTCACTGTAATACTTGAGAAGTCTGAATCCCCACTTTCCTGTATCTAACACTAAGTATGACCACAACACATCATCCTTCTGTATACCTACTTGTCCCTGTCCTTTGTTTGTTTGAAGTGTTTTTATGTACTTCCCTGCTCCACTTATCAGTTCTATTGTGTCCCTTGTCCTGTCAGCAATAACAATATTACCCTTACTGTCATATACAACTGTTACTGGATCAAACTTGTCTGGTGTGACCACCTCCCGTGCTGGTATCCCCTCTCCCCCGTAGTGGACCAGGGACTGGAGTGTTGGGTTGTACACAATGATGTGACGCCTGTAGTTGTCTAGATCACTACTGTCTCCACTGATTAGGTTACTACTCACTATAGCTATGTTACCTGTAACACCACTCTGTGTGATGGACTGTACTGCCCCCGTCCCTGACCCCTCCACAGTGGCTGTGTGTAACACCTCGCCGTCTACTGTGTACATCATCACCCTGTACCCCTGTCTACCCAATGTACCCACCACTACCAGACCCTCCCTGGTCACACACAGACTGTATGGGTACCCCTCTGTAGTAAACCTTGTGACTGGTGTAGATGATGTAGATACTTCACAGATAATCCTCTCATCTAAACAACAGAACCACAGACGATCTGTGGTGGGGTCCAGACTGATGTCTGTGATGTCACTGTTGTGTTTTATCTTCTGTATGACTTGACCTTTGTTGTTGATGAGGTTTACTGTGTTGGTTTTATGCTTACACAGCCATGCACCTCCATCAGTTGTAGGACAGATTGATGAGATAGTATCTGGGTATGAGAACTGAGATATGACAGTTGGACTGTCACAAAGTTTGTACAGGACTGCTCCAGTGGAGGCTTGACCCGTCTCTGTAGCTTTGGACTGTTTAGGTCTCACACCTGGGCCTTGTTTGGAGTGACCACTAGGTGCTGATCCTGCCTGGAGATGGTCGGTAGGAGTCTTCATTTCCCCCATGGCCTGCTCCAGGTGACTTTGTCTGTCGTTACCTGGAGTAAACCCTGTCATGTCAATAGGTGTCTGTGGGATATCTAAGTCCATGTCCTGGATTTCTGATACTGAGTCATACACAAGTACAGCAGTGCCTGTCTGGAGGGTCTGTTTACACTCTGATGAGAGTTTCATTAAAGTGTCTAACCTGTCCTCCAGGTTTGTGATGTGAGTCTGAAGGAGGTCTGTGGTCCCCTTCTCCATCTTGTTACATATTACTAAATAATCCTCCATTACCTTGTGTAAATCGTGTTTACATTGATCGTGCTGTTTTTTTATATTTACAGAGAGTTTTTTGTAGTTAGATTCCCTTGTCGAAATTTCGTTCCTTGCCGATTGGATTTCATTTTTGAGTTTGGGAATTTCAATCTTTTCTGTTTTATTCATTAAGTCTAGAAGTGTATTTTTTTGTTCATTTGTAATTTTAGAAATTTCTTGAAAGCTATCAATGTGGGTTTTGTGACTTGTTATGGAACAAGTCGTACAGATCAATAATCCACAGTTCTGACAGAGTATAACCACCTCATTGTCCTTATGGTACGGACACTTTGTGTGGCCTTTGACCCTGACTGGAATTAGTGGACTGGGGCTGCTGTGTTTGGTTGCCATGGTTGTGGATGTGGGAGAACTAAAGGTGTACAGGGAAGTAACTTCTGGTGGATCTTTAGGTCACCTTTTGTGTACCTGTGAAAGAAAAAATAATGATTAACTGTTTAAATTTAAATTTGAATTGTTTAGTTTAATTCTCTAAAAAGTGTAATTAATAGATTTATCTTGTAACTGACCACTAGCAAGTGTAATGGCTAGAAAGGACTAGTTACTGACCAGTAGAAACTTAACAAACGAAAAGTTATTGTAACTGATCACTAGCGAGTGTAATGGCTAGAAAGGACTAGTTACTGACCAGTAGAAACTTAAAAGACAAAAAGGTCTTGTAACTGACCACTAGCAAGTGTAATGGCTAGAAAGGACTGGTTACTGACCAGTAGAAACCTAACAGCCGAAAAGGACTTGTAACTGATCACTAGAGAGTGCAATGGCTAGAAAGGACTAGTTACTGGCCAGTAGAAACTTAACAGACGAAAAGGTCTTGTAACTGATCACTAGAGAGTGTAATGGCTAGAAAGGACTAAATACTGACCAGTAGAAATGGTCTTGTAACTGACCACTATAAAGTGTAATTAACAGATTGGTCTTGTAACTGACCACTAGAAAATGTAATTAACAGATTGGTCTTGTAACTTACCACTAGAAAGTGTAATGGCTAAAAAGTTACTGAACAGTAGAAACTTAACAGACGAAAGTGTCTTGTAACTGATCGCTAGCGAGTGTAATGGCTAGAAATGACTAGTTATTGACCAGTAGAAACTTAACAAACGAAAAGTTATTGTAACTGATCACTAGAGAGTGTAATGGCTAGAAAGGACTAGTTACTGACCAATAGAAACTTTACAGACGAAAAGGTCTTGTAACTGATCACTAGAGAGTGTAATGGCTAGAAAGGAATAGTTACTGACCAGTAGAAACTTAACAGACGAAAAGGTCTTGTAACTGACCAATAAACAGTGTTAGGCCAGAAAGGACATGTAACTGAACGTCATATTGAGAGACAAATTGATTTGTAAGTTTAATCAGAGAAATTAATAAAGAGAACATTCAAAGCATTTTTTGTTAAATTTTTTACTCAACTATTCAAAATTCAGTTATATCTTCATATAATTGTCTTGTTAGGTTTTCACCGCTCTTAGTGATCGATTGGCGTCCTCACTGGTGACAAAAATACCATATTGTTGTTAGGCAAGTAAACTATGCTGTAGAAACGGTTTGTGTTCCTCGTAACTTCTAAGGGTGGTAGGGTCTGGGCATTGAATTATGATAAAGGCTGTGTTACGTCTATGTATTGATATTTAAACTACAGTATGTTCTGAACAGAAATTAAAGGAAAGTTTTATGTGGAACTTTCTATAGAAAACATTTAAATCTTTGTCGTAGAACTGGCTTTTGTGTCATTCAAATCAGTGCTATTCAAATATGAATAATGACTTATAAATAGGATTTGGTCTAATGCCTTATTACATGTATGAAATATCACAACTCTTTACCACACTTTGAATCTACATTCTACGATGACACAAGACTAACCTATTGGCCAGAATTGTCTTCTAACTGATCAATAGTGAGAAAATATGGCCAGAATGGTCTTCTTACTGACCATCAGGAAAAATGATAATGTCAGAATGGTCTTCTAACTGACCGATAGAGAGAATGATATGGCCAAAATGGTCTTCTAACTGATCAATAGGGAGAATAATATGGCCAGAATGGTCTTCTAACTGACCATTAGGAAAAAATGATAAGTCAGAATGGTCTTCCAACTGACCAATAGGGAGAATAATATGGTAAGAATGGTCTTCTTTCTTACCATTAGAAAGAATAATATGGCCAGAAAGGTCTTCTAACTGACCGATAGATAGTGTTTTGGAACAAGGAGACTTACCATTCACCAATATAATGGTAGGGTTTATAACTGACCAGTAGAGTGTTGTGGTTTATAACTGATCAGTAGAGTGTTATGGTTTATAACTGACCTGTAGAGTGGTATGGTTTATAACTCATCAGTAGAGTGTTATGGTTTATAACTGACCAGTAGAGTGTAATGGTTTATACCTGATCAGTAGAGTGGTATGGTTTATAACTCATCAGTATAGTGTTATGGTTTATAACTGACCAGTAGAGTGTTATGGTTTATAACTGACCAGTAGAATGATGTGGTTGATAACTGACCAGCAGAGTGTTATGGCCTTTTACTGACCAGTAGAAAGCTATTGTTATAATGACAACCTTGTAACAAACCAATGGTCTTAGTTTAGCTGGAGAAATAAATTCAGACAAAAAATGATCCTAAACTTATTTCATCACATTATATACTTACAGAATGTCCAAATTCAGTGACTTCCAAACCAAATTGATTTGATAATTTCTTTCTTCAGCTCCTTCAGCTTCGGGTTATTTTCACAAAATTGACTTTCTACGTTTCACGTACAGCCCCTGGTTGTCAAATGGCTTCCTTACTCACTGGTGACAGCTAGAGGAATAAAACCTGATTTTAAGGCAAGCAAAACTTGTGTATAATATAGACAGTATGTATTCCCCGTAACTACCCACAGATACAATCACACCTGACATTCTTTATACCTGGATATGACCTTATGTCTATAATTACGTCAATCCTTTGTTAGCTCCTTCTCCATACATGACTTGATATTTAAAACACGGTATTATCTCTACGGAAATGTTTCGTGTAACATTCTGCTGAATAATGGAACAGTTAAATCATTGCTGTAGAAATTCTGTCATTGAAATATTTAAATAAATAGTCGTGATATTTATCAGAGGGATTCGTCTGTTTGTCTTTGTGGTAAAGGATACATGTACCTCTATAAGGATCTCTGTTTTAGAGAGATATTTTCTTACCAATATAAAACTTAACTGACCAGTAGAGTAAAATGGTCAGAATTGTCTTCTAGATGACCAATAGAGATAACTGTATGGTCAGATGTTAGAATGTTATGTTATATACCTGACTAGTAGAGTGTTATGGTTTTTAACTGATCAGTAGAGTGTTATGGTTTATAACTGACAAGTAGAGTTTTATGGTTTATAACTGACCAGTAGAGTGTTATGGTTTATACCTGATCAGTAGAGTGTTATGGTTTTTAACTGACCAGAAGAGGATTATGGTTTATAACTGACAAGTAGAGTGTTATGGTTTAAAGCTGACAAGTAGTGTGNACTGACCAGTAGAGTGTTATGGTTTAAAGCTGACAAGTAGTGTGTTATGGTTTATAACTGACCAGTAGAGTGTTATGGTTTATACCTAATCAGTAGAGTGTTTTGGTTTATAACTGACCAGTAGAGTGTTATGTTTTTAACTGATCAGTAGAGTGTTATGGTTTATAACTGACAAGTAGAGCGTTATGGTTTATAACTGACCAGTAGAGTGTTATGGTTTATACCTGATCAGTAGAGTGTTTTGGTTTTTAACTGACCAGAAGAGGATTATGGTTTATAACTGACAAGTAGAGTGTTATGGTTTAAAGCTGACAAGTAGTGTGTTATGGTTTATAACTGACCAGTAGAGTGTTATGGTTTATACCTAATCAGTAAAGTGTTATGGTTTATAACTGACCAGTAGAGTGTTATGTTTTTAACTGATCAGTAGAGTGTTATGGTTTATAACTGACAAGTAGAGCGTTATGGTTTATAACTGACCAGTAGAGTGTTATGGTTTAAAGCTGACAAGTAGTGTGTTATGGTTTATAACTGACCAGGAGAGTGTTATGGTTTAAAGCTGACAAGTAGTGTGTTAGGGTTTATAACTGACCAGTAGAGTGTTATGGTTTAAAGCTGACAAGTAGTGTGTTAGGGTTTATAACTGACCAGTAGAGTGTTATGGTTTATACCTGATCAGTAGAGTGTTATGGTTTATAACTGACAAGTAGAGCGTTATGGTTTATAACTGACCAGTAGAGTGTTATGGTTTATAACTGGCCAGTGGAGTGTTATGGTTTAGAACTGTCCAGTAGAGCGTTATGGTTTATAACTGACCAGTAGATTGGTATGGTTTATAACTC